TGGCCCGTCAGACGTTTCTGACGGGGAAAAAGCAGAAGGGAGAGTAAAGCATGTGACTCAAATCAAGATCCTGACACCAGAGTAGGTGACAGTGGAGGTTAAAGGGAGACATTCAGAGAGAGCTGCTTCACCGAACTAACAGAGTTCGTCATCTCTCGGACTAAAGGTTGTTCACGAACTTTTCAGGCAGCGACCCACAAAATAACAAGATTTTAAAGTGCATTGTTTTTGTCTTTTGACGCTGATCTATAATTGTGTCGTAAAGTTGTAACATGTTGAACAACATTATTGTGGCAACATTATGTTGTGGTCTCCACCAGCCAAACAAATATGGCTATTATAGGAGCAATTTTCAGTAATTTTTTATCAGATAAAAGCTGCCTGAAGCTTTGGGAAACATTTGGATGAAAGAGGTGCGAGAGAACCAGTGTAAACAGTACAACCCAAACACTGAGATAAGGGTTTCATAGCTGTTTGGTGTGTGATTACAAAGAGGAAGGAGAATGAGAAAAAAATGCTTAACAAGAAAGAGGAGGGTCGGGGTGTTACATGATAGACCCCCTCACCATGGTGTGCCAGCAGCAGGGGAAAGGTGAGTGTGTGCCGGGATGTAAAAGGATGCAGGAAATAAAGGGAATTAGGTGAGGGTTAAAGCAATGAGGGGGAACAAGATGAGGGGGATTGGCTCGGAGAAGGAGCCAGTGGTGGTGGAGGTGGTGGTGGGGGCCGTCGTCCTCTCACTCTCCCCCTGGGTGTTCCTGTCAGGGCTCCAGGGAAGCAGACATAATTCACTTAATTAGTTCTTACTGTTACATGTACAGTACAAGACAAAAGCTCTGGGACAAAGAGAGCGAGGACTTCCCTCCGCCGCCACATGAAGCAGTTCAACTCTGTTCCAGTCACATTTTCTATGCATCAGCTGCACAAAGTTGTATTTATCACTACTGATCTGAAAGCACAGTAAAAGGATGACAGTGTATTACTGACTCTTTCATTGCTGCATGAAATCAACAAATCAAAGGGATTAATCCTGTTTGCAACTGCAAAGATCTGTTGGAACACAAGGTCGGAATCTTGGTGAATATCCCCTGTTGCTCTCATAGCGTGTTCTGATGGATTTAAACCATCACATAAACAGTCTTTGTAATTTACACATAAATCACATGACAGCCCCCCACCCCCGCTCTCTGAAAACAGGATGTGAGTGACCTCTTCCCCCACATTCTCTGACGAACGCTTTGTTGGTTTCTCTAACCTGCGACCCACAGACACTTCGGGACAGGGCGAAGTCACTGTGTGTTCACCTTTGTGTGAACAAAGAACTCGAAGCAGTGCATGGTGGGTCAAGGCAGCGTGCCGGCCACAAAAACATGCACAAAACCAAATCTGCAGAAACTTAAATATTGAAGAGTGTGATATTTCTGACTGGGTTTCCTGATAAACTGAGCGGAGAGATGGATTTTAAAACCCAAGAGTCTTTGCTTTTTCTTATCTATAGAGCCTTCATATAAACTCTGGTTGAATTCCACGTGACTGTGGGAGTGACTTATTTTAAACACTGTAAATAATGGACCGGCTACATCAGTTCGGCCTGCTAAAAGGAAATGCCACTTTATTGTAAGACTTCTTGTTTCTTATACCTGTATTATTCAAGCTGATACACACCCCTCGTGAAATAACACTCTTTCTAAAAAAATTTGACCTTGGTTTGCAAAGTAACGATTGTGTGTTGGGGGCGAGACATTAAAACCAAATACACAATATTTTCAAAGAATTCAGGTTATCTGTTGACCTTGGTCCCTGAGTGTATGTCTAGGAGGAGGATGCACATCCTGCATAGACACAGCAACCTCTTTCACAGGAGCTCTAGAACCAGGTGTAACACATCCTTCACTGCTCAGTCTGCCTCACACTAAGTGGTGTGTTTCTGAAGAGCCAAATTAAATGAATGGAATGAAGGGGCATGTCCTCCATGCACACTGGAGCATGGTGTCCTCTATGCACACTGAGGCATGTGAGATCATTGGCCAAGCACTTTGGGTGCAGCCACGATAAAGAGAAATGTTTTATCTTGTGACATCAGGGAAATGAAGCATTGAAACGTCCAATCATGAGGCTGCTACAGAGGAAAAATGGGAGGCTAACTCGACAGTAAACTTCACTCTGATTGGCCCAAGTTCTCCTCTGGCATGGATGTTCAAATAAAGCACAAGATTGTCCCTCTAGAGTCATGTGTAGTGTTTGGGATCTAATACTTGTTGACTATTTTGCTTTAATTTATGATTAATCCAAAAGTTTTTTTTCACATCAATCTGTCTGTGTTTTTAAAGGTGAAGGTGAAGGTGGTTTGGCTCATCTGGCTCTCTTGTGACCCGGACAAAATTGATGTGAGCCCATAAAGTGGCCCAGTTGTATAATAACAAATGTGGCCCCAACATCCCAAAACAAATGTGGCCCTTTTCTGCCAAACATGTAGCGTCTAGGTGTGTAGGTGTGATCTGGATGTGAGCCATGTGAAGTATGTGAAGAATATGGCTCAAATAACACAACTAAGTAGGGCCACCTTTGGTTGACATGCGGAGTTGGTTTGGCACTTGTGGCCCAGATCTGGCACTGGGGCAGTGGGACAGTGTGGGCCAAAATAATGCGAATATTCATGGGGTCATCATAGATGCTGCATATAATATTTTACAAAATAAATACAGCTATTTGATTGAATGGAGTAAATGTTTAGTGGAAATAAACCAGAGCTAAAGTGTTGCCTTCTTACATTAAATTAAATGGTGCAAACAAAACATATCTAACAAAATCTAAATACTGGCTGCTTCAGTCCTTTTCAGTGAATGTTCTTCATTACTCTACACCTCTGATCCATTGCCCAGCCGCCACCAGTTTAGTCACCAAACTCCCCCATTCACTCACCCCACTTCCAGTGTTCACACACACACACACACACACACACACACACACACAAACACACACACCTCCACACCAGTAATCCCACCAGGTTGTTGGGTTTCTATGGGGGTCAGCGTTTGCCGGCGACAGCTTTTATTTGGGCCCGATTACTTTTGGGCACAGTCATCGTATGGCCTCTGTCGACAGGGATCACGCCCATTGGGGTCGGATTGGTGTTCGCCTCACTGGCTCCATTCAGTGGGCCCGGCACAATCTTTTAGGCAGACCTGACTCGTAGCCCGCAGAGTCGGGGCCAGCCCAGTCAGCAAATATGACCCCCCCCTCACCCTTTTAATCAGATCAGGGGGAAGAATAAAATGAGAGAAAGGGGGAGACCGAGAAAGACATGAATGACTCCTGTATTTTAGGGGCTCATAAGGAAAGAGGGATTAAAAAAGTGTGTGTGTTTCTGTATTTATTGCTTTGTGAGGACCATTTTAAGCATAGCCCCTTCAGAGTGAGGACATTTTGGCCGGTCCTCACTTCTTTAAAAGGCTGTTTGAGGGTTAACACTTGGTTTTAGGGTTAGAATTAGGTTATGTTAATAGTTAGGGTTAGGCATTTAGTTGGGATGGTTAAGGTTAGGGTAAGGGGCTAGGGAAGGCATTATGCCAATGAGTGTCCTCACTAAGATAGAAGTACAAATGTGTGTGTGTGTGCGTGTGTGTGTGTGTGTGAGAGAGAGAGAGAGAGAGAGAGAGAGCTTTTTTTTATCAGCTGACCGATCAGCAGGTCTTTTGAATCAAAGCCATTTCCACAAGAGCAGAGTTTTGAGTTTTTGACCCAGATGACCTCTGTGGCAGACAATTGTCACCAAACTCACATGTTTGAGATTCCTAAAGGCTGCGGACCAAAACTCCCATGTCACCCCTGGGATGTATATGTACATCTCATGGTCAAAGGTTCTGGATAGAAATAGCCAAAGAATCATTTTATGTAGAATTAAACCCAGCCAACATAAGGAAGATAAATGTTTACCATGGTAACAAATACAGTAGAACTGTTAGAACTGTATGTGGACATTATTCGGCTGTATATGTGATGTTTTCCATTTGACCAGACAGGCCTCTGCTGCCCTCTTGTGGTGTAACTGAAATGTTGTAATCTTTTAGTTGGGAGGAGTTAGAACATTATATATTTAAATATTTTACTTTATTATATTTCCGTATTTGTTGTTATACAAATATATGTCTGGATGAAGAGATCTATTTACTATTATATATATATATAACCGGATTTAGTTGGTAGTGGCATTAAAATTGATTGTGTTCAAGTATATATCTTGAAAATCCTTCAGGTAGATAAATATTCAACAAATACAATATCTGGTCATATTGGATGATTTTATTTATTTAGCCAATATAAAAAAAATAAGCTGTTACCATGTGAAATTTGCTAAACCTGTTCCATCCACGATAGCTGATATCTGTTCATTCAACATTTCAAGTTATTCTTTGAATTTAAATTAGAATTAAAACCTCCTACTATTCAGGCTTTTTAATTTTACAGCATGTCATTTTTACAAACTCTTCTATGTTTCGATTTAGGATTTTACACTTATATTTATAACTAGAATATGAGCTGCACCTAAGGTTTTATTTCAAATGCAATTTTTTCCGTCACAGGATACTGCCAGTATTCTCATCCATGAAACACTGGCATTTCAAAATATATTTTGCGTAAATAATAATGATAATAACTTTATTTTTATTTGTATAGCACTTATCTAAACAAGGTTACAAAGTGCCTCACTAAATAAATGGCAAACAAAAATAAACAAAAATAAAAAGTTCAACTTTAAGAGCAAAATCAAGGTCAAGACTTCGAAAGGTTTAAATGAACCCAGCAGCTCTCACATATACAATATAAAACATATATACACATCACAGTCTCACATTTATTTAAAACTCAAAAGTTGATTTTTAAATATTTTCGTGCAGTATTTTTTGCACCTGATGATGGCGCTGTTACTGAACATAAGGTAAAAATAACAAATACAGAGGCGGCTCCTTTAAATGGCTCATACCATTAATGACGGAAGAGGGGGGGGAAATATTATGTTGGCTTTATTTTCGGTTGTGTGCTGCACAGGGTGAAGAATTGCATTGTGTTTAAATGTCACACATTATAACTTTTAAAACTATTCGACAGCGAAACAGACACATTTATTATTATTATTATTATTATTGTGCTTGAAGCCCAGAGGACCAGAGGACCAGAGGGGATCAACTCAGAAGAAGAAACTCTCAAACAGCCTGAGTCCGGGAAGAGGCTCAGACATGTCGGGTCACAGCCGAGAAAACGGCCCCGGATCCGGCCCCAAACAGCCACAACCCACGGTAACAGCGGAATATTGCGCCCAGCTGCAGCAGTGGATGTGGGGCTACTACTGGAGCTACACGGGCTGGCAGAGCTGGCTCTCCCTGTCCGCCCTCTCCTTCCCACCGCCGCCGGGGACCAGCGCCCGGACACCGGCTGCAGTTGCCGCCTCCACTCCCGGTGGTGGTGTACCGTGGCTCAGCTGGAACCCTTATCCCCCGGGCCTCCCCCCGGCCCCGGCTTCCTCCCCTCATCCCGGGGGTCCTGATCCCCGGACAGCCCAGGAGCACGACCCCCCTCAGGCAGGTGAGTCAATGCTGTGGTGCAGGGGTCCCCACAGTCTGCAGCCCCCTGACCCCCACAATAAGAGACCCCCGTGTCCTAAAATACTCAGCAGAAAATAATACTACTAATAATAATAATCAGCACATGCTCTAGTGACCCTTAGTACTCAGTTTTATCATGTAGTTGCACAAAATTAATTGTTCTGAATCCAGATTTACATGTTAACATATTTGTTTGATTTTTCATTCATATGAAACACTTTACAATCAGTTAAGTGAGTTAGATTGAAACATGCACATGTGATCAAAATGCATTTGCTCAGTGGGAACATGTGCAAATAACAGATAAAAAGAATTCAAAAAAAATTAATGACAATTAAAATAACAGTTGAGAAAGTGGATAAACAGATCAGCCACTAAGAAGGTAAGGATTTAAGAATCCATGTACCATTTAAAAGACAGATTACAGAAGGGAGAAAGGATTTGGAGATTTCTCAAGCAGGTAAAAGATCATCCTCATATATAACATGCACGACATATACATCTCAAATAACAAGGAAATCTCACAACACGTTCATGAGATGATATTCTCAAAAAGAATCTGGCATCTCTTGGTTTTGCTCCGGTGATCTTAGAAGAGATTTTCGCAGATGTTGTTCAGAAAATATTGTTTGGGTTCCGCTGCTGTATTAGAGAGTGTCCTGCCTCATCCTCCACTGCTGTGAGAGGTTTACTTTGTACAAGCTCGGTCATGGGTCCGTTAGGAGGCAGGCTTAAGTGAGGAAACAAGCTTATATGCTTAGGGTCAATGTGAGAGCTCTCTGAAACTCTGGGCAGCTTTGTTAACTCTGATCAGACCTATTGTACCTGGCCACTGATTACAGTTTGTATTATTTAATGCAGAAGAATACACTTTATTCATTTAGCACCTTTCAGAACACAACTAGTTGAAGGTGAATAATAGGAAGCAATTTGAAGATCACACAGAAACACAGCTCAAATACAGAATTAAAAAAAGTTAGAGATGGAATGGTGAGCAGGACCTGAGATGTTCTAAGGTGCAAGTGCAGAATGGGCCCTTAAGTCAGCTATAAAATCTTAAAATCAATTCTAAAATGTATTGGGAGCAAAGGAAGAGCAGCTCAAAGCTAAAATCGGGATGATCTGCTCTCTTTTAGCCGATTTGTTGAAGAGTCTGGTCTGTGTTTTGGATGAGCAGTAGTTTATATGGACTTTGTTGGTTCAGGCATGTGAAGAAAGATCTGCAGTAATCCAAACAAGAGGAAACAAAGGCATCTTAAGTTTCTACTGGAAAATAAAAATCTTATATAAAAAATTTCCTTTGCTCGACAGGACGGGAGTACACCATCCCCTCTCCTCTGCAGAGGTTCCTGGCAGAGACGGTGGACTTCTTCATCCTGTTCTGTGTGAAGGCCACCATCGTGCTGTGGATCATGCACCTGAGTGGGATGAAGTGAGTGACTGAAGCTCAGGGAAACACAAATGATGGAATGAAAGAAAAGTGACGACATGGAAAATGTGTCAGTAAACAGTGTTTCCCTTCAGTGCTTTATTATAGTTTTACTCAGGCTCAGTCACCGGCAGGTCCGGAGGTCACATGCAAAATAGACAGTTGGTGTCACCTCATGATTTAAATATTCCTCAAGTTTTCCAATTTGCATATTGTCCCTCTCTCTCCTTTTTAAAGGGACATCGCCAAACTAATCACCCAGTTCATCGTGGAGGAGATCGACGAGAACACGTCCATGGAGGACCTGCAGAAGATGATGGCCGTGGCTCTGGTCTACAGGGTGTTAGTGTGCGTCTACGAGGTGGGTCACACTTCACACTGCCCTCAGAATGACTGACTGTATAAAATAATGTATATATTATATTGTAGTTATTGAAAAATCCTGTCATGTTGTGTAAGTCATGTCCATTAGATTAGAATGACATTTACAAATCCAACTTAGTTTAGTATCGTCCCTTTGGGGAAAAAGTTCAACCTTCATATAGATATTTGATAAATAAATAAAGTGCAGAAGTATTTTATATTAATGCAGTTACAATCTATAGTAATATCTTCAACGTCTACAAGGAAGGGATGTGAATCTGGATTAATGCTTTGTTACTGCTTTTATTTGGGGGGTTTCAGAGTTGAAAGGAAACACTCAAGTTAAATGAATTCTTAAAACACATTGTTTGTTAGAAATTAAATGATAATATAACAATACGCTTTATTTGTACACCAAGGGCTATAAAACTTTTATATTTATTCAACCTTAATTGATTAATTAAAAGTAATCAAGTTGGAAGAAACAGGACTGAACAACCGTCTTAAAAGCACAGACTCTGAAATGTATATATATATATATATATATATATATATATACATATACATATGGGCGGCTGTGGTTCAGGAGGTAGAGCGTGTTGTCCACTAATCAAAAGAAGTAAAGTACAGTCTATTTACCATATATGTATGAAACCACAGTTTGTCCAGTCACTCGGATCGAGCTGCCTTGTTGCCACGTGCTCTTGTTAAATGAGAAGAGTCCCTTCCTCTACAACACAACATTGTTTCCCAGGACACTGATGCAACGCTGCATTCACAGTTGCCTGAGATGAAGTCATGCATCACGTCTCCTGTTTGACTCCTGCATCAGGGGCTGGTTCTCCCAGGTGGGAACCGGCTCTGGGACATTCAGGCACCTTTGGGCCGACTAATGACATCACACGATTCCTGCCGTGCATGTAAACCTAAAAAAATTAATTCCATGCTTTTTTAATGGCTGTGTCGTATAGTACCTTTTAAAAACATGGTCAGGGGTCTACTTGGTTGTTTGTTTGATTCCCGTCCTTGTTGTCCAATCAGACGATCTGTATTTGGGGAGCCGGTGGAGCCACTCCAGGGAAGTTTCTGCTCGGCTTGCGGGTGGTGACGTGCGACACATCCACTCTGGTGCGACCCAACCGAGTCTTTGTAGCCCCGGCCTCTAACGTCTCGCTCTCTGCGTGAGTGATTACATGTATAAGCTTCTGTTCAAAGCCATTAATCTTAATGTCATATAATTATACAGATGCAGCTACTGCGAGTGTAACTTTTAATTGTCCAGCCTAGATCTCTCGCCACATGGATCCGTCTTATTTTAATATCTCCTTATTCTTATAAAATCCTTAGCCAATCATTCTGCACTTTACTCAAGTACATGACGAGACGAATCTTATCTTATCTTATTTGTCTCGTCTCGATGTTCTCAGCTCTACGGTGCGGGCGTTGAACAAGAACTTCTCCATCGCCTTCCTCTTTCCGGTCTTCATCACCCTCCTCTTCTTCCAGCACAACAGGACTGTGTACGACATCGTGGCTGGCACCATAGTCGTCCAGAGAAGAGGGGGCAGATAGCCTCTCCTTCAGCAGCAGACTCTATTGGGGTAATGAGAAAGTGCGACAGGCCCTCGTGTGCTGAGCATCCTGGGAGTTAAATCAATCGGTCACCAACAGCAACAGCTGGAGCAAAGAGCGACACGTTGGCCCATTTCTGCAAGAGATCAAGCTTGGACATGAATTGCACTTAAAGTGGGGGGTCATGTTGTTGAGATTAAAAAGGAAATCCATACTTACTACTTTTGTTGTAAGGTATTGATTTAGCTACGAGGAAACTAAAGTATTGTAACTTATGTTAGTGGAAGTGTAGAAGAGGATATTGTCCGATGTTTCCAGGAACCTGGGACTCCTCCTCATATCATTTGAACTAGTTTGTGTTATTTTATTTTATCTTATTTTTCCAAAATAGCTCATATGTGTATGATTTGAAAACTTTAGTGACACCTAGTGGCTGGACCAAAACAGACTCCCAAGATGCCTGTTAATTTTCATAATGATAATTTTATTTTTCTACAGAGAGAAACTAATAATAATCAGAATAATTTAACATTTGCTGCACATTGTAGTTCTACATACAGGGACTCTCAAAATAGATTAAACAGTAGGTTACACATCTCTTTAAACATTAAATTAGGCAATATAACTCTAAAGTGACATTTTTAAACATCTGCAGATGAATGAACTTCATGCACGGAGCTGTTTGGTTTTCTTATGATTTCAATTTTTGTGAATGTGACTATATTATTGTTTTTATAAACGCATACTGAAGATGAACCCAGGCTTAGTCACAGAGACTCAGGTCCACAAGCCGAACCGCTGTTTGTCTCGGCTGCATTGTTGAAATAATGATTGTCCCCGAGGATGTTATTGCATTGGTCTGGTATTGTCCTCATACCATCACACAAACTGATGCAGGTGTTGATATATAATTAATATCTTCAATATTAAAAATGTATTTGAACAGGATCATAGTGCAGTCAATCAACCAATCAATCAATCAATACTGTATGACTCTACATAGCCCACCTATATAAACTGCTAATTTGAGAAACAGTAAATATAATTGTAAGAGGATTTTCAGAATAAATTAAGAAAAAACAATTTTCTTTGTGTCATGCCTGATGTGGGTGATTCAGCAACTGTACTGTTAAAACCCAGAATTAAATATTAAGGATTTATTGGATTTTGTTTCTGTGTAAACTCCCCTGAGTCATATTTTGCTTTTCTCATGATAATTTCATACAGAGGTCTCATCTCTCAACTTTTCCCTCCACTTGCTACAACACTTGCTGCCACATGGGGGCGACAATAGACCGCACAGATTAACTTGTGGCCTAAATGTAGTGGGAGGTTAGATTTAACTGTTGTTACTGGATGTTGACATTTTTAGAAAGATATTTTTGCACACAATCTTTAAGGAATGGTAAAAAGCATGTGACCAGATTTTTTTTTATACATATAATTAAAGTAAGGAAAGAACACAAGCTGTTTTCGTGTCCTTGCACATGATCCCAGATCCTGTATTTTACTGTCCCGTCAGACGTACCCTGCCCAGCTAATGATTTGAACACACGCACACTTTCGTGACTGACTTCCCTTTTAATCCTCAGACAATATTGTCTTTGCTCTGTGGTATCTGAGGCCTCCTTTTTTTCTGTCTGCTGACGTCTGCGAACTCACGACTGGAGCAGAGATATCAGTGTGTGAGGAATCATGAGGCCACAGGTCACACAAGGCAATGTTTTACTTGGAGATAAAAACAAATGCTGCAGCTGTTGACAAAGCCAATAACTGGTGTGAACATAATGTGTCTTTCACGCAGGGTTGCAGGAGTTTTATTCTCTCTGTCAGGTGCAGATATATTGAGTATTTTATGATCATGTGTGCATGACCCAGTATTGAGTAGTGATATCAAAGAAAATGCAATACTTTATTTCAATATACTTTGGCAACCTTTTTTGTTGTTAAAAGCTTTTCCGGCTTTTAAGCTATTAAATCTGTATTTCTCAGTCACGTTGGATATTTATTGCTGGCATCAAAGTGAAAAAAAAAAAATCAACCTCCTCGGTTTTTATTACTTACAGTGAAAAGTTTAGAATTTCCTCTGTCAGGATGGTGCAGGAGTTGTGAGATTTTATTTTGGACCCAAAAAATGTCATCAGACTGAGATAGTTCCTGTATTATTTCTTATACATTATGTATTATTTTTATACACAGTAAGTATGTGATGAAAAAAGAATATATCTTATAAAATAATGGAAAATCTTTAACCTTAGGCTTAAAAAAGCTGAGTTAATGTAATAAGGTGCATTTACCTTGGTTACTTAAGTACATTTAACATGTATTTGTACTTAGGCAGATTTATTTTCAGGTAGTTTTCACTCTTACGTCATTACGTGTATCAGCATATATCTGTACTTTCTTATCGATGGATCAATAATCAATAACTGGAGGGGGTTTGGGTGCACTGATCCAATCAGAGTGGGCAGTATTAGATGATGAGGTCATCACACAGATTTATAATAATGTAGTAGACCGCTGCATTAGGACTATCCTACACTCACCAAGTACTTTTACTTATAATACTTAAGCAGGCTACGCTTTAAAGCAGGGACTTACTTACTTTTGCTCACGTAGAAAAGTTAGCGTGGTATTTTTACTTTTGCTTGAGTAAAATTGTGTCTATTTATTTGCACATTTATGTTTCAGTGCTTCTTCCACAACTGCTTTTTATGATCCCAGCACATCCCATCTACAGGAAGTAGTAGTAGTATCAATCATTCAGCTCATCTAGATATCATAGTATTGATGAAACAAAGCTGATAAATGAACTTTTTGTGAGCTTGATTGATTTCATTTAATCAGAGATAATAAATAAATATATTAAATGACAGACAAGTTGCGCTCACCAGAGACAGTTCATTTAGGCAACATGATACCACTTTATGATTTCCACTGCCAAATTGCAGCAGAGTTGAATTTTTATGTGCTGCGTTCATGCTAAAATTAGCCAGGGGCATATTTTGTCTCAGGGTCCCAGTAGGAAGAGCGTTTTCTCGGCTCTCCTCAGAATGGTGAGGATTTTAAATAGCAACCATTAATCCTTATAAATTGGTAATCATCACCAGTCTAATGCCAACTTTCTCAATCCAACACACACACAAATTAAACTCTCATTTCTTTTGAGACGTTTGTGCAACATGTTCCGATCTTGTTTTCTTCACCTGCATTTTTTGACATCAGCATCTAAAGTTGGTTACGGCTCCACGATCACTCCGCATAAATCCACTGAGAGGTCCCACAGAGGACACCTGAGGGGTCTCTCTGCTTTCTACTTCAAACTCTGGATCAGTAGATCAACTTGCACCCACATGTGGCCTAATGCATGAACATATGTAAATGCACTGTCAGAATTATAAATGTAACATCTTCCATCTTAGATATAAGCATTAAAAGGCTGTGAGGCAGTGAGAAAATGAGCTTTCTGTTGTATAATCTGTGTGCATTGGGGGAAAAAGAGAAAAACTATCCAAACATTCTGTCAGCCATTCTGCACGATTTAAAAAGTTCATCACAGCATTTTGTCCTTTAGTGGCAATTTTTTTTTTTATTCTGGGAGTCATGAGTTGTTCTCTGTGCCGGGGAGCTGAGAGCAGCTTAGCAATAATTATGCCTCGAGTGGCTCTAATACAAATTTCACAGGGAGCCAGAGTGGTGGAGAGAAAGCTACAGAAAGTGTGAGACACAGAGACAGATTAAGGGAGAGAGAGAGAGAGAGAGACAAAAAGCCCAAAAGGAAGGGAAGGATTGGAAAGTGTGCAAAAATGGGAAGAGAATTTGAAGGAAAAAGGGAGGAGGAGAGAGAATGAGAGAGAGAGAGAGAGAGTAAGAGGCTGAGGGACACCATGCTTGAAAATTCTCTCTGATCTTTGAGCCGTGGGACTAGAGGCGATGGAATACCCCGCAGAACTCTATTAAAATTCAACCAGACCCACTAAAGCGCTCACTTATTATACAAGAAATGCCCTGCACAGCTCAGCTTTCTGTGTTTGCTCTCTGTCGCATACACTCACAGTGCATGAACACGCATGCAGAAGGCAAACACACACACACACACACTCACAAATACACACCACAGCCAAAGTTTTCCTCACTGGGAGACAGACACAGACACTTGAGGTTACCATGCTTGTGAATGTCACTTAGCGCAGCCTATGACTTTAGCAAAAACAACGCTACCAGGAGCTATGAAGCTAAGCTGTTCTACAAAATGATGCATTTGTTTCTTTGTGCCTCCTTGTTGAACCCCTCAGGTCTGGAGGATCTCTCAGTGGATTTGCTTTGGCAGAGCAGCTTGTGATTGTGGCGTCGAGACCAACTTTAGATGTTGACGTCAAGGAAACAAATTTAGATACAAATCATTGGAGGTTTAGGAACCAAATCTAAACCACCAGAGAAATGGACACCAGATTTAAAATAGTTTACTCCAATTTTGACAATTTAAAATAATCAATATTTTTTGTTAATTCAATTTTATTTTATTTCTAAAGCATCAAATCACCACACACATTATCTCAAGGCACTTTATACCACAAGGTGGAGAAATCGCCTCCCAGACCAGAACTGTCAGCTGGTTTCACAGGAGAGGAATCTGACAGCTGGAGGCTCAATCTCCCATCATCCTCTTCTTAGAAACTCTGTGAACCACAAGTAAGCCCACAAACAGATCTATGGGGATACAAGCGTACTTAAAGTTATTCAAGATACTTTGGAGTTTGGTCTTAAAAGGCTTTGTACGTAAGGAGAGGGGTTTTGTATTTTGTTCTGGATTGTACAGAGAGCCGATGCAGAGCTATATATAATCTCTTTTTCTACTTCTTGTCAGTACTTGCACTGCAGAATATTGTATCAGTTGGAGGATTTTCACAGACTTATTTGGGCTTCTTATAAAAATAATAAAGAATATTAAGAAAGGAAGCATATATAATGTGAAAAGGATCAGTCCCAGCACAGAACCTAGTGGAACTCCATGACTAAATTTATATGTGCATGGAAGAGTCATTGTGAACGTGAACAACTGAAATCTATCAGAAAAATACAACTTTAACCAGAATATTATTATATAGGAAACCAAAACCAAAACAATGAGCTTAAATGAAGAGGGGAAACCCTGTGGAGTTACTTCTGTGAGTAACTTCCATATCAAAGATGCAGTTTCTACTCCTTTGACATATAAAGACATAGAGAAAGTGTAAAAACTAATTAGTGCATATTCAAAATAAATACCTGTGGGTCTATTATTAATCCACAGCTGACTAAAAACAAGGCTCCTTCAGGGACGACTTTACTAACTGGAGTCAAAACTCAAACTCACCTGGAGATGTATTAGAAAGTACCAACGTTTAGTAAAAATGTGAAGTTGTGTTTGCATTAACTTAAATGATGTCTGCTGTACACAAAGTACACAAACACACACCACAAGAAAAAGAGTTAAACAATGTCATCCACCTTTTACGATTCTGTCACAACTGGTCTTTTCCTCTGACTCAGCAGACTGATATCACTCCATCACTCCACCCTCAGATACTTCAGAGAAACTCCTTCCAGGCCTTTGAACGCTCTCCAACACTGCAATGGTTTCAGCAACAGGTTGTTGTGCTCGAACTCGTGACTCTGATGCATCTGCATGTATCTTTGCAAATCAAGTGGATCATTTGAAGCGATAAAGAAACCCTTAGTGTGTGTGTATGTGAGGGCATGACTGCAGCAGACTGTGCTGCAGGTCAACTCTCTAATGAAGGATTAGGAGGAAGAATGATCCTTGAGATTTGGGAAGTAAAAGGAGAAATTGCATGTTTGTAAATTCATATGCTGATGATTAGTGTCAAACTGTAGTAATAGTAAAATGTCAGAGAAGGTGGAGTATTATATCACACTCCATTAACAGACAGTTGTGTTTGTCTAGATAAACCCAGGCTTTCTCCCTTTTGCCCAGTAGAGGACGTCCTCCTTGAATTTATAGTCTTGTGTCCTCACTCCACGTAGCAGGCCTGTCATTGGTTCTCGGCAGCCTCCGTGCCCAGCAGCTCGGCCAATCAGAGAGCTTCTGGGCCACAAACATCTGAAGTAGTAATAATGTGGAATGTGCTGGCTCGGCATGAGCTGTCAGCCAGAGCATGTAGTACTACACTATATACGGATGGAGGGAGGAGACGAGTAGAGAGGAGGAGGGAGTGGCAAGCAGCCGATGACAGAGCAGTAGTCTCATTGTGCAGTGGGATAATGTGTGTGTGTGTGTGTGTGTGTGTGTGTGTGTGTGTGTGTGTGTGTGTGTGCGTGTGCGTGTGTGTGCGTGTGCGTGTGTGTACAAAGCAGCTGCTCTGCATTGCCCAACATCCAAAAGCGCCCCACCCTCTGCCTCACCCTCTTGAGAGTTCACACACACACACACACATCATTTTGCTCATGCACACCCTTACACAACTTAAGCTCACACAATGTGAACAATTACACCAAACCTTCATTGTCACTCTTAAAAAAAACAAAGAGTCACTTCAGTGAAGAAGCAGATGTCCAAAGAGAAATCCCTCAGGGTCATTCTGTGGTTATCATCAACATACTGAACATACAGTACAGAGCTGTGAATTTAATCCCTCGGCCGACAATCTCTGCGGAGCGTGTGTGTCATCTGTGGGGCTGCGTGGACGCACGACAGCAGGTTGTGTTTTTGCCACAGAAGTTTCACGTTCCAGGCCACAGCAGCCAGCAGTGACCCCCGTATTAGTGCCTGTTCGCTGGGGCCTCAGCAGACCCGCCACCTGGTCCCTCCTGGTGGAGGTATGTACTGTATGCCAGGGGTCCCACAGACTGTCAGAGCTAAAAAAAAAATAAAATCCATTAGTGACTGCATGTTTAGGAGCAGTGTATGTCCTTATGTGTAGATGTG